CCCTGACATTCGGGCTATTTTTCAAGATGGCGACCAACATTTTTTTTTTTTTTTTCAAATCAGAAATAGATCCATTTTAGCAGTGTTTTTCAGGTTTTTTTCTTTAAAAAAAGAAGAGAAAAATCAAAAATCAAAAAAAAAAAAAAAAAATAGGAGGCGGCCCCCAAAAAGGAAGCGGGCGGGGACGCTAAAACTGTATATATTTTTTAATGGCCTAAGACCCTTTCCCAGAACAGATTACATGTGTTAGCTAAATGACTGTGAGAATGAACTTGTCTTTGTCCCTTTGACACAATGTAACCCTCATATTACTTGTATCCTTCTGGATAAATATGAGATGTTCTGGCTTTCTGGGAGGAGAAGAGTTTAGACCATCACCAAGCTAGTACCTATACTTTGTCTGCTTTATATCTTGTAAATATACTTGTGAATCCGGACTATGTGACTCATCGTTTTTAGAGTTATAATGAAATATACTCTTGCATATTACACTTCAAAGAAAGTCTCAGCATCTCTTTATTTTATGTACCTCTCAATATTCCAATAACTCAATACACCGATCCCAACACAACATGGTGGAGAACCCGGCTTTAATTTAAATTTTTTCTTCGATACACTATGAGATCGAGGAGAACCAGCGACTGAACATTTACAGTTTTTTTACACACAAACTGGCAGAGTTTTTTAATCCACATCTCTTGGAAAACGACATCAAACACAGACAAATTACGAACTCGACCAACGACAACGATCGACATCGGAATTAAAGTACATGACTACGACAAGGACAACAAACTTACGATGAAGATGACTTCAACCAGATCGCTATTAGCCCTTATGAAGCTCAACCAGCAACACAAAGTACTGATGACATCGACGACGAATTGGACTCTTGCCGACAATAGATGACTACTCAAATGCACCAATAGCTACAGCACAACGTTAGACGAACCAGGAACGACATCGACGAACAAGAACAACGCCAAGCACTATGATGAGGACATCGACGCCTCACTGTGACTTCACTACACCCAGAAATTTTTGATCAATAACTCTAACTTTGGAACCTGAACTTTCGACTTATCCTGTTTTTTTTCTTCTTCCTTCTTCTTCATACTTAATTAATGCATGCACCGCTGTTTTAAATGTTTAACACACCAGACAGATTACTATAGTTGGGTAAGTGAAACACTTTTTCATTGTTCCAGACTATGAGTGAGATTGAGAGATTGAAATAATAGTGACTTGATTTAATGCTCCATTAATTTATGCTTTTGCTACCAGTATACAATTTGACGATTGTTATGAAATTGTGCTATTATTAATTCTATCTTTGAGAAATAGCTTCATAGATAGTATTTGTATTGAATTTGTTTTTGCTACACCTAACTTAATCGTAATACTATACCAACTGACCATGCCTTTAACTAACGATCAAACTACCACGACATCGACTCCACCCAATAATGGCACAACCATGCCACGACATACAACCCTCCGATCGACTGACTTTCTCCCGTCCCGGTTTACCGGTGACCGGCTAAATAGGGATGACTCGGCCGCACACTTTTTAACCTTTGATGACTACCTCGACGCACACGACGTCGACTCTACTGACCCAGACCAATTCCCGACAATTCTTAGGAAATTCCGACGAACTTTACAAGGACAGGCCTGACTCTGGATCGACGGCCTGACTTTTTCTACCTATACTGACCTAAAGGACGCTTTTGTGAGGAGATTTAGCCCTGCTAAATCCTCGTACAGCCACGTCCGTGATTTTAACACGATGACGATGACCGACGGAGAAAGCGCAGAAGCATACCTCCAATGACTCAGACTTACAGCCACATACATTGACTACGGGGAAACCCAAATAAAACATCGACTACTTGATTCTATACCAGACGACTGCCGAGCTGCGATTTTAATGTCTGCCTCAGCCCCTGACCTTTCTGCGGACGACATAGCAGCCAAAGCGCAGCTATTTCTTGATTTGCGCCAAGACACTACCCGACAGACAAAAGAATTGACCTTTTCTACCCAAACTTACATTGATGACCTTAGGCAACAACTTAATGCCCTTAAAACGTCCAAGGCAACGGACAATGAAACTGACCGTGGACGAACTCCACATCGACGACCATCCACACCTGCTCGCACAAGCCGTAGCGCGAGTGCCGATCAAACCCACCGCGACCACTACCAACAAAACCGACAGGACCGGAGTCATGATCGAAATCGTGATTTAAATTCAGACCGACGCGGTAAGAGCCCATACCGCCGTGAAAAAACATATAACCAACGACCACGACCACGAATGATATGCAACTACTGCTACTTTCCAGGACATGTTTGGCGGGAATGTCTGAAAATCTGGTGGGAATTGATATGCTTTTAGGTAGCAATACACTTTCTGATTTGAATGGTGCCCTCCACTTTAGAGATAATATATTTAGGATTAATTGATTTGATTTGATTTGATTTATTGGTTTCTGCATCTTTTTTCTTTTTTTTCATCATATATTTTCATGAACATAATATGGCTTGATACAATATTTTAAGTGTATATAATTTTATACAGATAATAAACGATATTAAACAAATATATTGAATTTAAACATATACATTGAATGCATAATTAACATACATTAGATGTAGGAGGGCTACAGAAATAAGCAAAGTAGCTTGACGTGCCGGCAGCCCTCAACTTAGATACAACAATAAAAATAAAAATAAAAAAGAGTGACTTGCAGAAAAGAAAAGGAAAGGGGAGAGAAGGAGGAGGAGGAGGAGGAGGAGGAGCGTTGGTAATAATACAATAAATCTCATACATCTGCTGATTGAATGCAGGTTCATTCATGAATGGAAAAACGATGCTAGGTCATAAACGATTACACATCATTGTTGAATATACAGTCAAGGTACACACGAACATGAATACAACAAAGATTTCATTTGCTCCCTCTAACAAAGTGATTATTGACCCAGGTACTTCCAGATTTGTGACCATACACGGCAAGACCCCGCCCCACCTACGCAAATCTGATGTTGTATTGACTGCGAATAATTACTTAGCCCGACACTGCCCATCTACCATGATAGTTGATTAAAGGGAGGACCCAACTACTAGTGACCAATTCTACAGACAAGCCAGTCCATTTGACAAAAGGTAGACCAATCGCCTTTCTGGACACTAGTACTCTCATAAATGTGGCCCATGACTTACCAGTAAGCGACATTCACATGACATTGAACTCTACAAGTAATTTGAATGTATCTCAAACTCAAGTAGACAGCCCCCATGGCAACAGAACTAGACTTGATAACTTAAGGAAATACCCCCACCTTGACTCTAGAGACCCCATCGTTGATATGACAGAAGACGAGATAATACGGAAACATATTGACTTAAATGGGAGTATTCTGTCTCAAAATGAAAAACAGGAAATCGTTCGTGTTCTGATGGAAAATAGAGATGCATTTTCTCTATATGGCGAACTATCTAGTTGCCCGAATTTCGAAGTAGACATTGAACTGACTAACGACGCACCATTTTTCATTCGATCTTACTTTGCACTGCAACTGAGACTGACAAGGCTAGGATAGAATACGAACTAACCAAACTCGTCAAATTGGGAATTTTAGAAGTAGGACATCAATCATACACCTCACCTGTCTTCCTTCTTTCCAAAAAGAACACCTCCGAACAGAGAGTTGTTACTGATTTTCGGTATCTCAATTCTAGAGTTAAACGAATTAATCATCCTGTCCCCCTACTTTCGAAAACCCTTAAACGAATTGGAAATGCAAACACTAAGGTCCTTAGTGTGATTGATTTGAAATCAGCTTTTCATTGCATCCCCCTATCCAAGTCAGCTCAAAAGTATACAGGCATTGCATTATACCATGGTGGGAAACATAACTTTTATAAACGTTTGGCACAAGGCTTAAACGTTTCACCCGCTATCTTTCAAGCGAAAATTGATGACATTTTGGGTTCGATCCCCAATTCTAGGCAATTTTGCATAGCTCACCATGACGACATTATAACTATTCAGCCAAGACAAGACATCCCATCGATCCCACTTGATAGATGTATTAAAGGCCCTCTCTGACAATGGACTTAAAGTCAGCCCGAAAAAGTGCAAGCTCTTCCGCACTGATGTCGATTATATGGGCCACCGAATCACTGTCAATAAGGAGGGAAATGCATGTTTTCAACCCCTCCGTGACAGGTGTGCTGCTATCCATGGCATGCCCAAACCGAAGACCCCCAGACAAGTTAGGAGACTAGTGGAAGCAGTGAACTATGTTGCAGGATTTTTCCCCGACATACAATCTGGTCTCAAACCACTACACCAACTGACTAGAAAGAAAAACAAATTCGTCTGGGTTGACAAACACGAGACTGCCTGTAACAAAGTTAAAGAGCTAATGACCAACCCTCCAGTCTTACACATGCCCCAAAGTACAGGACGATTCTCATTATACAGTGACACTTCTCGGACTGCTACCGGCTCTTACTTGACTCAACTTATTAATGGACAGGAACGTATTATGGATTATTACTCGAAAGTATTGTCCGATGCATGTCAGAGATACAGTGTGACCTTAATAATGTTGGTATCATTGCAAAGTTAATGTTACAATCTTTCTAATGGTTCATATTTAGTTTTCAAAAATTGTTACAGATTTGACTTATCTGCTTTTAAAAGTGGTAAAATTACTACCCGATTATTCCGCCCTTGATCGGCCCGCTATCGTGACGTACGATTTGTGACGTAGGAGGTTGGGCACATGCTCTCACACATCTCTCGCCTGCATGCATGATACGTATACAAACGCCACTCGAACGCTCAATATCTGATCAAAATGTCCGAACTCGAAGAAGAGGGTTTACTCGATTTAGAATTCGAAGTTGATGAGCACTGCAGCTCCACAACAGTGGTACTGGTAATGATAGTGATGATGATGATGATGATGGGGATATAGGAGAGATGGAAGAAAGAGAACAATTCGGAGAAGACTGCGTCGATGCTGGTGCAGGTCAAGTGATAGCATATTAGCGCGAGCTGGCTGAGCTGCCAGCTGCCGCTCAGCTCCCCCGGCCCCGCTCAACTGGCGATCGATCTGTCATGACTGGGCGAGACACTTTCTAATTTTTCGGGATGTGTGGGGCTTTTTGGCAAATTTCACGGATAATAAAACAAAAATGATTAGATGTGAGATTATATTTGGCGAAAATCAATTACAAATATGCACCATTCATAAATAGAACTGCTGCTGCAGGACATCATACAAATGCAAAAGGACGCTCGCGATTCACTCATCATGGTCTCCTTATATGATCAACAGCAATCACTATCACGCCAAGGCATGATGACCGAACAAATACAAAACATCTCAGCAAATTACACAGAACGGAAGGGTATTTGGACAAATCGAATTGCACGATTCACCCCTCGTATTATATTTCATACATTTGCTTAATATTATATGTAATTACATGATTTCTAGAGATTGTTATTCCACTTCCTGGTCAGTATAAGACAGTGGCGGATCCAGGGGGGGGGGGGGGCCCGGGGGGCCCGGGCCCCCCCCTTGAGAAAAAAATCATGTAAAATCACGTGATTTTTACGATTTTTGGGGGTTGGGCCCCCCCCTGGCGCTCAAGGGGGGGGTGCAAATTGAAATTTTTTTGAGGATCCAAAAAAAAAAAATGTGCTCACTACCCCCCCCCCCCCCCCCCCCCCCCCCCCCCCCCCCCCCCCCCCCCACTGAGCGAATTTTTGGCCGGCGCGTTTTTCAAATTTTCGGGAGCAAAAAAAAAAAAAAAAAAAAAAAAAATTGTGCTCTGTACCCCCCCCCCCCCCCCCCCCCCCACTGAGCGACTTTTCGGCCGGCGCGAATTTCAAATTTTCGGGAGCAAAAAAAAAAAAAAAGTTGGGCCCCCTCCCCTAAGAAATCCTGGATCCGCGCCTGGTATAAGAAGCATGAAAAGTCTGGATAATGTATACGTATAGCTATGCAAAATACCGCACGCGAGCTGTGCGAGAGGCGAGCTTTAGGCCTAGAATTGCGATCGTGCCCAACCAGGGACGTCACAATCGGCCTACTGCGCGAACAAAATGTTCAAGCCAGGAATTGTAGTTCTGAGAAGGTTCTTGGAAAAAGCTTCTTACCGCGTTTCATTTATATTTACAAGACTTTAGAGCAGAATGTGTGTCTTCATATTGGTCTACGCTATCCGGACATGTATAATTTGCCCATTTTGAGTGATTATGTGAAATTTCTTCGCCAAGTTACTTTCAGCATTTGCTTTTATAAAGGATGTGAGTTTAATTAATGCATTCGTTGATCATAGTTCAATTGTTCAGATTTTGAAGTCAAAAGATGCACCGTGCACAACACGACTGCAAAAATTGATTTTGAAATTATCTGAATACTCCTTTCAAATTGGATACAAAAAGGGTACTGAACTCGTTCTGGCAGATTTTCTTTCTCGAGCCCCTTCTGTCGACCATGATGAGATTGATAGGGTTGTCCCCATTTCATGCTGCTTATTTGACGAGAGTGAATTTGTTCATAATTATGTACACCCTTAACCCAGTCCAACCCATGGATAGGAGAATAACACGGGCCTATGCCAAAAAGATGGGAATAACTGTTCCTGAAATTTCCCCAACAAATCTCAGAGCCCCATTACAACAGAAACTAGTGTAAACACACAGGCCAGCTAGCCCAACACCCCCTGACAGACCTACTACACCCCCCCCCCCCCACGACCAACCAGTTGGACAGACATCACGACTTGCCACGCCCCTCAGGCAGGCACCAGCGCGTGACCAAGACAGTACATGTACTCATTCTAGAATTATGCCCCCTGGTAGCATATATTGGCACCAAGATTAACGGCGATATGAATATTCATTATTCCCTACGTCACAGACGTGCGGCGTGCGTACTCTGTCATATACACATGTACTAGTACACGAGTACGTTCGTAAGCATTTACATGTACATTGCTCCGGAATGAAGAGAATCATTATAAAGGACGAATTACTCCGTGAAGCCAAGTACAAGCAGGAAATTGAGAATAGCAAACGTTCCTCGGAGCGGCTATACACTCCCTAATCTAGCTAGTTTTGTAATGATAGTTTATCTAGAAAAATGGACATTTAGTACTGTTTAGTTGTTCAATAACATCACTCAGTTTGATTTAATTCGAGATATATATCATTAATAAAACAGTATAAAGGCTGTATGAGTCTCGAACGAACCATCGATCGCCACTAATCTTGGTGCCAACACCGTTAAACCATGCTCCAAATTTAGTAATACGTTTTGTGTGTCTACAAAGACCCGGGGTAGGATTATTTTGGAGAACGGAAGATTCATATTGTTAAGTTGTTCCATAACATCACTCAGTTTGATTTAATTCGAGATATATCTCATTAATAAAACAGTATAAAGGCTGTATGAGTCTCGAACGAACCATCGCCACTAATCTTGGTGCCAACACCGTTAAACCATGCTCCAAATTTAGTAATACATTTTGTGTGTCTACAAAGACCCGGGGTTTGATTATTTAGGAGAACGGAAGATTGATATTGTTAAGTTGTTCCATAACATCTCTCAATTTGATTTAATTCGAGATATATCTCATTAATAAAACAGTATAAAGGCTGTATGAGTCTCGAACGAACCATCGCCACTAATCTTGGTGCCAACACCGTTAAACCATGCTCCAAATTTAGTAATACGTTTTGTGTGTCTACAAAGACCCGGGGTAGGATTATTTTGGAGAACGGAAGATTCATATTGTTAAGTTGTTCCATAACATCACTCAGTTTGATTTAATTCGAGATATATCTCATTAATAAAACAGTATAAAGGCTGTATGAGTCTCGAACGAACCATCGCCACTAATCTTGGTGCCAACACCGTTAAACCATGCTCCAAATTTAGTAATACATTTTGTGTGTCTACAAAGACCCGGGGTTGGATTATTTAGGAGAACGGAAGATTGATATTGTTAAGTTGTTCCATAACATCACTCAGTTTGATTTAATTCGAGATATATCTCATTAATAAAACAGTATAAAGGCTGTATGAGTCTCGAACGAACCATCGATCGCCACTAATCTTGGTGCCAACACCGTTAAACCATGCTCCAAATTTAGTAATACGTTTTGTGTGTCTACAAAGACCCGGGGTAGGATTATTTTGGAGAACGGAAGATTCATATTGTTAAGTTGTTCCATAACATCACTCAGTTTGATTTAATTCGAGATATATCTCATTAATAAAACAGTATAAAGGCTGTATGAGTCTCGAACGAACCATCGCCACTAATCTTGGTGCCAACACCGTTAAACCATGCTCCAAATTTAGTAATACATTTTGTGTGTCTACAAAGACCCGGGGTTGGATTATTTAGGAGAACGGAAGATTGATATTGTTAAGTTGTTCCATAACATCTCTCAATTTGATTTAATTCGAGATATATCTCATTAATAAAACAGTATAAAGGCTGTATGAGTCTCGAACGAACCATCGCCACTAATCTTGGTGCCAACACCGTTAAACCATGCTCCAAATTTAGTAATACGTTTTGTGTGTCTACAAAGACCCGGGGTAGGATTATTTTGGAGAACGGAAGATTCATATTGTTAAGTTGTTCCATAACATCACTCAGTTTGATTTAATTCGAGATATATCTCATTAATAAAACAGTATAAAGGCTGTATGAGTCTCGAACGAACCATCGCCACTAATCTTGGTGCCAACACCGTTAAACCATGCTCCAAATTTAGTAATACATTTTGTGTGTCTACAAAGACCCGGGGTTGGATTATTTAGGAGAACGGAAGATTGATATTGTTAAGTTGTTCCATAACATCTCTCAATTTGATTTAATTCGAGATATATCTCATTAATAAAACAGTATAAAGGCTGTATGAGTCTCGAACGAACCATCGCCACTAATCTTGGTGCCAACACCGTTAAACCATGCTCCAAATTTAGTAATACGTTTTGTGTGTCTACAAAGACCCGGGGTAGGATTATTTTGGAGAACGGAAGATTCATATTGTTAAGTTGTTCCATAACATCACTCAGTTTGATTTAATTCGAGATATATCTCATTAATAAAACAGTATAAAGGCTGTATGAGTCTCGAACGAACCATCGCCACTAATCTTGGTGCCAACACCGTTAAACCATGCTCCAAATTTAGTAATACATTTTGTGTGTCTACAAAGACCCGGGGTTGGATTATTTAGGAGAACGGAAGATTGATATTGTTAAGTTGTTCCATAACATCACTCAGTTTGATTTAATTCGAGATATATCTCATTAATAAAACAGTATAAAGGCTGTATGAGTCTCGAACGAACCATCGCCACTAATCTTGGTGCCAACACCGTTAAACCATGCTCCAAATTTAGTAATACATTTTGTGTGTCTACAAAGACCCGGGGTAGGATTATTTTGGAGAACGGAAGATTGATATTGTTAAGTTGTTCCATAACATCTCTCAATTTGATTTAATTCGAGATATATCTCATTAATAAAACAGTATAAAGGCTGTATGAGTCTCGAACGAACCATCGCCACTAATCTTGGTGCCAACACCGTTAAACCATGCTCCAAATTTAGTAATACATTTTGTGTGTCTACACGCAAAAAACTGAGGTGCTAAATGTTGGGTGCTGAGTGAGATTCTGCACTTGAAGTGCCAAAATCAGCACTTGACGGGTTAACTTTAACAAGGAAACCGAAACGTGCTGAATATTTGAGTGCAGAAAACGAGTGCTATAACAATATGCAGCACTTAACATCGAGTGCTGACTGCATAACCTGATCTGATTGGTCGGTTAGTATAATAGCTGTTACCTTGTGAATATTTGTTTTTGAATCAAATTCAGCTAAGAGATTCTTACATTCTTCATTCTCCAGGTCAATACCCAAGGCCTCAAAAGTCTGAATAACTTTGCTCCTTAAACTGTCAACAACATCAGTATTCAAAGCTGTTGCAGCAGATA